TACTACACACACAGGCTACTACACACACAGGCTACTACACACACAGGAGACATTATTCTCAAACAGCTGGCATTCAACTTCAAATTCTCAGTTTTAAATCAGCTTCCTGATTTGGTCTAAGACAAATTTTTCAAAGACAACAAATTTAAAAGATTATTCTTCTAAGTGGGAACATTAGGAATAATAAAACTTGTGAATAGTAGTTAAAAAACAAAAACACCTGTTTTAAAAGTGTCTTATCCCTAAACAAATAAAAGAAATTTGAACTTACCTTGACATTATCTTCTGATTTAGGTTTGTGAGTAGCAGGTGGTACTTTACCTCCCATGCTTCAAATAAGAAAAGATAGTTGTTTAGAATATTCACCATAAGTTCACTAAAAAGCAATTAACTTCTACCCAAAAAGGGCTAAATGTCTTGATAACATTTCAAAGCTTAGAAGAGTACACTCTCAATTAATATGAATGCTTTGTTACGATTAAGTTTGTTAACTTCAAATTGTTTTTGACACACTAGTGTATAAAATCTTTCCCCTGTCACTTAAGAGCCTAATAAACTATTATAGCTGTCAGTACCCATTCCCAAAGGAAAAACGAAAGGCAGAGAAGTCAATAAAAACACAATGATAAAATCATCCCCTTAGTCATCATCTCAGAAAACAGGGTATGATATATCTGAACAGCAGAAATTTAAGGTTGGCATTTGGCAAGAGTATGTCAGGAGCTCAGGGACCACTTGGTTCTTTGCAAAGCCCTGCTTCCCAAATAGTTTAAGACAATATACAAATAATAAAATTCAAAGGGGAGAAGACTAGAAAAAAATAAGTTTACATGCTTTTTTGTTATAGACTCATGAGTCAACAGTAGAATGCCTAAGTGGTTGATGGGTAAAAAAACAAATCAGAAACAAAGGCAATTTAATTTAAGGCTTTAGTAACACACAAAAAGACCCTTAAGTGTCATTTACTATTTACATTTATTTATTTATTATGAATAGTATTCTTCTTGAATATATGCCTACAGACCAAAAGAGGGCACCAGATCTTATTATAGATGGTTGTAGCCACCATGTGGTTGTTGGGAATTGAACTCAAGACCTCTTAACCTCTGAGCCATCTCTCTGGCCCCTTGTTATTTCTTTTTTAAATCTTTTATTGTTGTTATTCTATGTGGTATGAAAGTGCCAAGTGTACTACTGGAGGTGGGAAGACAACGTTGAAAAGTCAGTACTCTTTCACAATGGGATCCTAGAATCAACCCAGGTTATCCATCAGTCCTTAGCAAGCAAGCATTCCTACCTGCTGAGCCATCTTACCAGGCCATCATTCCCTTTATGACTAGAGCTGTACCACCCACATTTGCACTCCTTCCCAATGGAGAATCTGGATGTAAAGCATATACCTAAGTTGAATGTAGATGGGCATCAGTTTCCAAGTTGTTTACACCAATTTACAGTAGTTATCAACACTGCATGGAAATAGCACTTATTCAATCCTGACTTTGCTATTCCCCACTCAATTTCCAGCCTTTCTGGGTATATGCTAACATTTCATTGTATTAGGTCCTTGTAAAATTTTGGTCATCTGAAGAACATTTTTTTTAAATATTTATTTATTTATTTAGTATACAATATTCTGTGTGTGCCTGAAGGCCAGAAGAGGGCACCAGACCTCATTACAGATGGTTGTGAGCCACCATGTGGTTGCTGGGAATTGAACTCAGGACCTTTGGAAGAGCAGGCAATGCTCTTAACCACTGAGCCATCTCTCCAGCCCCCCTGAAGAACATTTTTATAATATTCAACTCTCATTCAGGTTTTCATTACAATATCTTATTCTTGGGCATTGTTTTATATTCTGTCCATGGGCCTGTGTCACTTTCATGTGCTGCCAATATTTTCTCTCATCCGTGGCATGCCTTAGTATCTTTTAATAAACCCAATATAAAACAGAAGTTCAAATGCAGAGCAACAGATAAAAAAGATAGTTTTTGGTTTTATTTTGGTTTTGTTTTTTTTTTCCTTTAAAAAAAAAGATTTAGGTGCTTGAGAAATGTTTCATTGTTCTTGCAAGGGCCCTGGGTTTGGTTCTCAGTACCGACACAGCAGCTCACTACTGTCTATAATTCTAAGCTGAATGACACAGTTGTGAGCAACGGCATGGGTGCTGAGAATTATACCTAGGTACTCAAGAAAGCAGTCGATGTTCCTAACAACTAAAGCATCTCTCCTGCCCCTGGTTTTACAGGAGTCTTACTACAAAGTCCAAGATAACCTTGAATTTTTGATCTTGCTACATCTTTCTAAGATTACAAGTGCGTATGTCATCATAGTAAACCAAATTTGACTTTTCTTTTTAAGGACCATTCATTCAAGAAAAAAATGTGCAGGTTTTTTGTTTAAATTACACACACTCGCTCACTCTATTACTCAATATACTCAATGAATAATGGTTTCTATATGACAAAAGATTACAAAGTGTGTGTGGGGCGGGGGAGCTGGCCCACGCTTTTAATTCCAGCACTCAGGAGGCAGAAGCAGGCAGACCTCTGTGAGTTTGATGCAAGCTAGTTCTAGGACAGCCAAGGCCACACACAAAAATCCTATCTCGAAAAACAAAAACAAACCAAAAAAAATAAAAGAAAGAAAAAACACAAAAAGCAAAAAAAACATGATCCAAAATGCCTTAATTTCCAATTCAGGAAAGCAAAATGATTTAATAGCATCACAAACATTTCTACCACTTTTCAAAGGAGCACACACAGTAACCAAACACTGGCTCTTTGAGGTTAAATTTTAATGAAGATACAGAGCTTTCTTAAGCTGTGTTTTTCCTAAATTCCAAACTGCAGTGTCAGGAATGTAGGGTGACATCCAAACATAGTTACAACAGTTTAACTCTGTAAAGTGATAGCCCTGCCAAGAAATGTAATTCTCAGAAAAGCTCAGACAAATCCAAATTGAGGGAAAGGCTAAAATATCTGGATTGTAATACTCAAACTGTCAAAATCATGAAAGCCAAGGTAAATCTGAAAATTTTCAGAATGAAAATGAAACATGGCAACAGAATGCAACCTGTAATTCTAAGGGTTGGATATTATTAATTCATCCTTGTTAGCTGCCTTACTTGGATGGCTACATTGTAGAAGACTGTCATTATTAGTAGGAAACATTGAATGGGATTGAGCATGTTGGCAGCCTACTATCAGAAAACAATTTTGAAACTATTCCAAAATTAAAGAATTAAACACAGAACTATTTATTCATAAGCTGTATCTCATGTTTCTCACATTCCAAATTGTAGGTCATTACTTCAAGTCTGAACCAATTTTAAACGTAAATTTTGGTTTTTTGAAATAAGGTTTCTTTGTGTATCTTTGGCTGTCCTGGAACTCTTTCTGCAGACCAGGCTGGCCTTGAACTCAGAGACCTGCCTACTCTTGCCTCCTGATTACTGGGATTGAAGGGTGTGTGTCAGCACACCTAGCTTAAATATGGATTATTTTGATCAATGTTCTCAATGTTCCAAAATATGGATTATTTTGATCAATGTTCTCAATGTTCCAAAACTTAATATGCTCGCACAAAGCTTTATTAATAATTGTCATGAGAGTTAAAATCTTCAATCTACTTTCTGTTATTATTTAAGCACATGTACAAACTCTGAGGTATTACAGACAAACTCTGTACTGAGGGTAGAAATGCACTCTATCCACTATCAAATATTTACTCAGTCATGTTCCGTGAACTGTGCTACATAGTAACACAGAAAGACATCCTGGGGACTTAATTATCACCAAGAGTAATGATAAAAGGTCTAAGACACAAAGTTCAGATTTGGTTTTATCTATGTGTATTTTTTTTCCATTTTTTGAGACAGGTCTCATGAGTCTTAGCTGGCGTGGAGTTCACTATGTAGACTAGGCTACTCTCAAACTCAGAGACCACTTGCCTCTACCACCCAGATGTTGGGATAAAGATGTGTGTCACCCACATCCAGTCTCTTGTTACCTTTATTTCAATCTAAGTTGAAACTAGATTGGGCGGGCATGTGACACAGTTAGTAGTTGCCAAGTATGCATGCTCTGATGGATTCAGTTCCTAGAACTGAAAACTTCCATTTTTGTATATGTGATCATTTTAAATGAGATTATTTCATTTCTTTCTCCTCTGCATCTTTGTCAGCCATTGCAAATTGGGCTAAGTACAGAGACTTCTAGATCCAGGACTACTCATGTTAGTAACATTCGTGTTATTACGTTATTAATAACATTATCTTATTTACATTGTTATTAACATAGAGTTGAAACCATTTCAGAGTTCTCTTTTTCCATACAGTCAGTGTCCACTCAAATTTAAGGTGTTGAAAACAGTTTGCTATAAATGCTGCCATTGTTCACAGACTAACATATTTGATATAAAAAAAAAAATCACTGGCTAACGGTGATATACTTTAATCCCAACACTTGGAAAGCAGAGGTAGAAGAATCTCTAGAGTTCAGTGCCAGCCTGGTTTACAAAGCGAATTCCAGGACAGCCAGGGCTACACGGAGAGATCCTGTCTTGAAAAGCAAAATAAACAAAAAGAATATTTTTAACTATTTTTCATCATCCCCTCTTCCTAAGAGGAATGAGGGAAAACAACTTTTTCAGTATTCTCCTTTGATTTGTCTGTTTCACCTAGAATTTTAGTAACAGTTTATTTGGGAATCTTTCATTTAACAACTATGAGTGGATCAAAACACAGAAATACCTTAAAAAAAATTTTATTTATTATGTACACAGGCCAGAAGAGGGCGCCAGATCTCATTACAGATGGTTGCTAGAATTGAACTCAGGACCTCTGGAAGAGAAGGCAGTGCTCTTAACCTGAGTCATCTCTCCAGGCTCAGAACAGAACTATCTTAAGTTTTAGGATTAACAAGCTGTTCATCTGGGGAAAACCACTAAAATTCTGTCTCAATTCTTAGTTCTAACAATTATCTAATGGCAACATGTAGATTTTTTTTTGTTTTTGAGAAAGCAAAAATTTCAAAAAAAAGGGGGGGTTATTGAAGGGTATTCATCAGGGCTCAAAGCCAAGTTACACAGGTACACAACCAGCCCTACAAAACAGGATTCTCTTCCATTGTTTTAATAAAGTTACTACAATAATAAACTTTTAGAATTCTATTTATTTAACAAGTAAAATCCTAGAACAGTTATAAAAATTGGCAGAGAGAAAAAGAATAAAAGGCTTAATGGGCAAAACGCCACCACACAAAACAGTGACATTTTGACTTGCTTCTGGAGAATATGCCTGCTCAGAGAACTAGTCTCAGATTTTTAGTAACCACCAGTTCCATTTTCCCCACAGAAAATGACTACACTAGTTTACTGCTCATGTTTTAAAGCAGCATTTCTTCACCCTCTTGAAATGCAACTTTAATGTGAGGGTTTCTTTATTCTTTTAGGGAGTGGAAGTGGGTTTTGTCTTTAATTAGGGTCCTGCTATATTCAACCAGCCTGCCACAGCCTCAACCTTCAGAGTAACTGGGAAGTCAACAACATGTTGTCCCAGTGTTCCCACTTTATAATTCCTTGCTAGCAGGGTGAGTTTCTCTGGGGAGGGGAGGAGGAGAAATATGCTGGAACTAGCACTAAACCTCCCACTAGAAGTAATTTTTGAAAGAACCCCTAGATAGTTTGAAGTTTGAAATAGTTTGAAAGAACTACTAGAATGTAATTATCAAAATAAATTTTGTACCATTCATCTGCTCTCCCCACCCCACCCCCTCGGCTTTTTGAGACAGAGTTTCTCTGTAACCCTGACTGTCCTGGAACTCGATTTGAAGGGTGGCCTCAAACTCACAGAGATTCGCCTACTGCTACCTGCTGGCTTCAAAGACGTGTGCCACAACCATCTAAAACAGTTAATACTCAGCTATACAGATTAGAAGGGTTGAAGCCCATTCAAAATGGACCTCTTCTGTCACAACCAGCCTTGAACCACAACTCGTTTTCGAGTTAACACTTGAAAGGGAAGCATCAGTTTTGCCATTTGGTAGGTTTAAAATAATGGAAGGGTTGGAGAGATTACAGTTCACCAGTTAAGAGCATTTGCTGTTCTTTCAGAGAACCTGGGTTTATTTCCCAGCACCCACCCACATGGTGGTTCACAACTGTGTGCCAACAGTTTATAAGGATTTGATATCTATTCTTGCTTCACTAGAGGGTGTGCAGTGTACTTACTAAAGTGCAAGCGAGGGGGCTGGAGAGATGGTTGGGGGGCTGGAGAGATGGCTCAGAGGATAAGAGCACTGGCTGTTCTTCCAGAGGTCCTGTGTTCAATTCCCAGCAACTACATGGTGGCTCATAACCATCTATAATGAGATCTGGTGCCCTCTTCTGGCCCACAAGGATACATGCAGGCAGAATATTGTATATATAATAAATCTTTAAAAAAAATAAAATAAAGTGCAAGCGAAATACACAAAATAAATACATCTTTTAACAACAAATTTAATACATAAAAGAGTACTTCCTAGGTGAGAGTATCAGGGATATGATGAAGCTCCTAGTGAAAGGAAAAGAATCTGAGTTTTTCCTGTCCCTGGAGAGACATTACATTCTAAACCACCCAAAACATTACACACCAGGGCTGGGAAGATTGCTCAGGGATTAAGAGTATTTGCTGCTCTTACAGAGTACCCCAGAGAGCATTCCCAACACCCACAATAGTGGATGGAGTACAGACATCCATAACTCTATATCCAAAAGATATATATTCAGTGCCCTCTTCCCTCCGAGTCTCGGGCATGCATCTACTTGCAAAACACTCAATACACATAAAATAACCTAAAGAAAAGAAACTGCTCGTATGTTGGCAGACGTCTTTAATCACAATACCTGGCAGAGACAGGTGGATCTCTGAATTTGAGGCCAGTCTGGTTTATACAAGTTCTCAGTATGCAGAGCTACATGGTGGGAGCCTATCTCAAACAAATAACAAATAAATTCTAAAAAGAAAAAAAGACTACATGTTATTTATTGGGTCCTCCCCTAAAGAGTTAACCCAGAAAACAACCTCTCAGAAAAGCTGATTCACCTTAAGATATGCAAAAGGAATGAAACAACTGACCTTAACAAAATAAAGCTCAGAAGTCCTTCTCTCCAAAGAGAAGCTTTCAGACCTCCACAGCTAAGTCTGCTTTTTTCCAGAGTCTAATTAAAAAAATAGAACTTCACCTTTCCCCCATCTCTTCTTTGGATATTACCTAAAGTTCTTAACAAGCTCAACCTGGCACTGAATTCTCACTTTTCCTGAAACCCTCCCCCACTTCTACAACTGCTAGTAAGCTTCTACTGCGGGCCCTAATTCAGAAGGCATGACTTAACTTTCTCTTCATCCCCTCCTCCCTGGCAGCTGCAGAGTTACAACTTGCCAGCACTGCCCCCCCCCGCCCAAATTCTAATGGTCCTCAAGCTTCCTGTTAATTCTGTCCTAAAAAATCTTTTATCGACGAGCCAAAAGAACGAAAGGGAAAGCCAAGTCCGAGCAACCCAGTCTCCCAGCAGCTGGCACAGGATCTGTTCACGGAATTACTCGTACACAGGCGAAACACTCTCCAGTTAGTCCTGCAAGCACGCTGGGCTTTGCAAAACCATTTTGCTACAGGGTCTGAAGTGACGGCGCTACAATTACTATAGGTATAAATGATTCCTAACACAATTCCAAGCAGTTAAAATCTATGTACCGTACGTTACAGATAATTTAAGTTATCAGAGATTAAGTGAGTTACCACTATTAAGATAGTACTTAAAACGATATATGGGTCAAGGCAACTTAAGCAAGACGCCAGTTTCAAAAACAACCCCTCTATAAATGCTTTGTCTTGTTTCGCGCATTATTTCCAGTGCGCAAATCCCCACAATTCTCCACATTTATTTCTCCCAAAACACACCCCCCGGGAGACTTCATTGTGGGAAACCCAGCTCTAATCTCTGCTTTTTCACCCCGAAACTACCCAAAGCTTCTGACCCCAGGATAAGCTCTCAAAGCCACTGGGGAGCGAACCACGAAGGGGCCTAGACCCGCTCGCTACCCTCCGCCCCACGCTAGGTCGGGCCCAGCTTCCCACTCTTCCCGTCCCCAACGGTCCGCGGGGCCCAGGGCTCACCTCTCCACCCACTCCCTCAGGAAACGCATTTCCTCGGTGTGCAGGACGCTCGGATCCTGCTTACACATCTTCACGAAGGCCCGAAGCTCGCTCACTTTGCGGGGATCCATGGTCGGGAGGCGGGAGGCGGGAGGCGAGGGGCGGCTGCGGAGGCCCGGGCGCGGCACAACGTGACCAAGTGGAAGGGGGCGGCTGCCGCGAGGCAGAACAGACTAGAACCTCCCCGGCCGCTGGCTCCTCCCCCACAACGGCCTCGTGACCCCGGGCCTTCGCTCGTTCATTCCCACTCCCTCTACCTCTGGCCTTGTGCGCCGCCTCGAAGCTTCTAGAAGTGTAGCTGTCCGTGATACTGCCTGCTTCTAGACCCCGACACTCTTACGCGTATTTTTAACTCTGACCTAGCTCCTGGGTTAGATGAAGGCCCTTGCGTCTGTGCTTTCATGCGGGAGACAGGGAGGCATTTGGAACAGGCTATTCTGTGAAGGTGAACGTTAAGCAGAACAAGACACCCTGCGGGGCCTGTGGGGCGGGCGCGCCAAAAACCCAGCCGGGTGACGTCACCGCTCCGCGCCGCCGCGGGAAGAAAGCCCGCGAGCGGCGCCTGCCGGAAGAGGCCGGGCGGTTGGCTGGTTTCCTGGAGACACGGCTGTGCTGGCGTATTCTTTACCCCCCGCAGTTCGTACTTTCTCTTCCTGACGCTTGGGTGCTGGCCATGCCTTCACTGCTCTCAACCCCCAAGCTGGTTCCTGTAATAGCCAGGCTCCGCGGCCTCTCAGGTTAGAGTCTTTCTCGCCGGGATCCCCTCCAAGTCTTACCTTGGAGAAGCCTAAAACAGTCCAAAGAGCTACAAGTTGATGAGCCTGGTTCTGGACCAGTCGGCTCCTGGGCCCCACGGATTTTTATTTTGACCGGCTCCTCTGAGAAACTGGGTTTTAGTTTGATGTTCTAGGAAGCTGAAATGTCTGAAGAGAGGGAACACCCGAGGAACTGTCTTCAAAGATATTCGAATTCGAAATTTGTATCTTTTATCATCAAACTTGGCTAAAGTATTGCATGTCAAGTACCGTTTGTTTCTGTTAGGGCGACGTAAAATCTTTCCGGTTTTCAAAGGTTTCATAGGAGAGCTAGCTCGAAAGATAGAAGAAACACGTTTAGGAACAAATGTCATGTGCAGTTCAGTTTACAAAGTACTGGAGATAAAGGGGGACGTGGCTAAAAGTCTTTTATGAATAGTCAAACAGCGCAGAGACCGCGAACCTCCGGGTACAGTGTGATGAGCAATTAATCTGACTAACATAATTTTATACTGAAAAGTGTGTCATCCACCTACCAAGGGTATCTAATATTGGATTATATCTCAGATGAGTTGTGCAGAATGTTAACCATAAAATAGGGTATTTGACATCAAACCTTGTCTTGGCATTTGTGTGTGAGACTTGGGCTCGCTGAAATTGAATTTTTTATATCAGCTTTCTATTAAAAAATATTGTCTGTTGCACCGAGCTTGTTCTTTAAAGTTTGTTGTGCCTTTGAAGGGAGGAATGAAAATAAATGTGCGATTGATCAGTTATTATAACAGAGGCCTGTGACCAGGCTAGAGACAGCTTCTTGATTCTGATCTTTAACTTTGTTGAAGCTTCGTGTAAACCCTGATTTGATCCAGCTTTGGTACTAGGTACTGAACTAAAATACATAAAAATCTTGTATATTATAGTTTGCCTCTAAGGAAAGTAAATTCAGTGTCTTATATTCTCACTAAATTTTTTTTTAGCTTAATGAAGGAGTGGCATTGAATCTTCAGTTTACCAATGCAGAACTGAAACGCAATTGAGGCCGATGTTTGTTACATGGTTATGTCTAGTCTTTATACCACTTAGGAGTCTTAATTCTGCTAGTTAGAGTCCTTTTGCAGCTTCTCATTTTGTGGATCAGAAACTGCAATTTCATTGTTACTTTTGAGTCAGTAGCTAATATCCATGCATCTCTATTCCCCACTGTTGCTCACAGTCTAGAATTGGGAGATAGACAAGCAACAGATGACCTTATGGCTGAAAAATTACAATCTTGACCCAAGGGATAACAGAACAAAGGAAAGATAGGAATGCATTTGCATTGTAAGCAATGGCTATCCATGGAGTTAGGGTTTGAGTTTCTTGTGAATAGGACTTGGACTGTCTGTGGTGTTGCTTACTCTTTTTAAAAATATTATTCTTATTAATTCGTCAATACTTCCATACAATGTATTTGAATCATTCACCCCTCCTCCCAGAACCTACCTCTCCAACTACATTGTGGTTGCCTTTCTTTAGAAAGACTCTAGATCATTGCCTCTTAAACTTCCTAATGCGTCTACCCCTTAATAGAGTTCATGTGGTGACCCGAACCAAAAAAAAATATTTTCATTGCTACGTCATAACTATAATTTTGCTACTGTTATGAATTGTAAATATCTGATGTGCAGGATCTGATATACAACCCCTGTGAAAGGGTTGCTCAACTCCCAAAGGGGTCACAACCCATGTAACATGAGGGCCAGCTTGTTGGGGTTTCTGTCCCCCTCTCCCATACCCCATAACCGGCAAGTCCCAAAGAAAATCACACAGAGATCTCCATAAGTTATAAAACTGATTGGCCCATTAGCTCAGTCTTCTTATTAGCTCTTGTAGCATATATTAACCCATTATTTTTATCTATGTTAGCCACATGGCTCAGTACCTTTCACAGCAGGGCAGATTACACCTTGCTTCTTCCGTGGTCTGGGCAGGAGTGTGGAGGAAGCTTCCTGCTTCCCAGAATACTCCTGTTCTCTTTGCTCCACCTCTACTTCCTGTCTGGTTTTCCTGCTTATACTTCCTGCCTGGCCAATCAGCATTTATTTAAAACATGATTGACGGAATACAGACCATTATCCCACACCAAGCCTGCGTGTTGAGACCTGCTCTAGATTAAAGACTATTGACTGCCTTAAGAAACTTCCTAACCCAGGTGATGTGTACATGCTTTTTATCCCAGCACTAGGGAGGTAGAGGTAGGTGGATCTCTGAATTTGAGGCTAACCTGGTCTACATAGTGAGGCCTAGGACAGCCAGAGCTACATAATTGAGACCCTGTCGTCCCCCCTCCCCCCAAAAAAAAGAAAGAAAAGAAAGAAATTTTCTCTCCTGAGGAAGGTATGAATATCTGAAGTGAGAGTAGGTGTTTTGGTTTCTCTGATTGCTTGTTTTGGTTGGTTGGTTGTGGGTGATAGGGATTGAACCTGGAGCTGACTCTACCACTGAGTTATACACACACACACACCTGCAAATGTTACTGATTTAAAGTCTTCTTAGTCGAGAGAGAGAAGGAGAGAGATGGCATGTCCAACATTTAAAAGCTGTCTAGCACATGTGCACAGGAGGTTGACTTGACTACTTCATACGCAGATGATGGGGCTCATGCATGCGCCCAAGGTCTTAGCTGAGTTATGCGTGTGTGATACAACCACACATGCATGTAGGTCATGCGGGGCCCTGGGACCATTATGCACTTCTGCCTGAGGGCCTGTCTGCACTTGCATGGCCCTAGAACCCAGAAGTGTTTTCATTTTATATGGATGGTAATGTTTTGAAATATTTTCAAGGTATTTATATCAAAATGACTATTTGGTCTAATGCATAAGCTGCAATCTGTACACTCCCAGTTAATCTTAAATTCTAAAAGGAAGATGATGTATTTAGCAGTAATTGACAAAATCTATTTATCTTGTAATAAGACTTGGACTGGAATTCCTGGACATAATAGAAAAAGCTCAATGAAGACCTTGTAGATTCTATCAAGAAACAATGAGAGAGCTGGGTATTGTGGTGCACACTTCCCAGTACTGGGAAAGCAGGAGTAAGTGGATCTGAGTTCAAGACCAACCTGGAGAGTAGGGAATTTTTTTTTCCCCCTGAGACAGGCCTTCTCTGTGAGGTAGTCCTGGCTGTCCTGGAACTTTGTAGATCAGGCTGGCATCAAACTCACAGAGATCAGCCTGCCTCTGCCTCCCAAATTCTGGGATTAAAGACAAGTGTTACTACCACCCAACTTTTTGTGTTGAAGGGAGTGGGGCCCCTTGTTCCGTCCTGCCCAGCTAGCTTACGCCTGAAGTAATCACACAGAAACTATATTCATTTAAACACTGCCTGGCCCATTATCTCTAGCCTCTTATTGGCTAATGTTCTGCCTAGGAAGGGAGTGTCAAGCCACAGGCATGGTCTCAGGTACTTTGTTCCCAGCCCAGAGTGGGCACACAAACATCTGGGCCCACAAGTGCTCCATAGCCAGAGTTTGCACCAGCAGCAGGGCCCAGGAAGCCTTGTTCTAAAATGGCAAGGCTTTTTGTTTTGTTTTGTTTTTGCTACAGCTGAATCAGAAAAATCTCTCTTAAAGCAACTGTGGCAAGCCCCTAGCAAACAGCAAGAAGCTGTGTTAAACTCTGTATTCTTTTTGAAGCTCTCTCAGATTTTACGTGGAATCAGTTTACCATGTTGGGTGCCACTTGTTGTGAGGAGAGAAGGCCTGCTTTTGGTTTCGACCACCCTGCTAACTTACACCCAAAATAATCACACAGAACCTCTATTCATTTAAACAGTGCCTGGCCCATTATCTCTAGCCTCTTATTGGCTAACTCTCACATATTAGTTTAACCCATCTCCATTAATGTGTATCACCACTTGACTGTGGCTTACCGGCATGAATCTAACCAGCGTCCATCTTGGGCAGGAGAACCATGGTGTCTGCCAGTCTGTCCTTCTTCCCAGAATTCTGTTCTGTCTTTCCCGCCTACCTGAGTTCCACCCTATCAATTATGCCAAGGCAGTTTCTTTAATAACCAATGAAAGCAACACAAATACAGAAGGACCTCCTACACCATTTTTGTTTGTTTTTCGAGACAGGGTTTCTCTGTGTAGCTTTGGAGCCTATCCTGGAACTCGTTTTGTAGACCTGGCTGGCCTCAAACTCACAGATCCACTTGCCTCTGCCTCCCGAGTGCTGGGATTAAAGGCATGCTCCACCACCTCCAGTCATTTTTTTTTTAATTTAAGCATTGAGAAAGATAATTAAATCTAAATTTTTAGCTAAAAGTGGATAAATGGCCAGATGTGGTAGCACATTCCTGTAATTTTAGCACTTGGGAGATAGAGGCAGGAGGATCAGAAGTTCATGTTCATCCTTGGCTTCATAGCAAGTTCAAGGCCAGCCTGAGCTACATGAAATCCAGCTCAAAGAAAGGAGAGGTGAATTAGAGGACATATCATTACAGTCTTGCTGTTTTTGAGATGTTGGGTTTTGGTTCTGGAAATGGATTTTCTTATTTCCAACCCTACTCCTGCATGGGAGACAGGTTAATCTTAACAAGTGACACATTTTATGTTAATAGCATTTAAAATAGTCTAAGCGTTTATGATTTTCTGAAAATAACTTTGGATGCTAATTGTCCCCAATTTCTCGGAGAAATTACCTTTCCTCCCCACTGAGAATCAGACAATACTAAACAAAAGTTTACATTTGCTATGGGAATTATTTTAAAATAGTAGTTATACTCGATGGTGGTGGCACACACCTTTTTTTTTTTTTTTTTTTGCCAGCACTTTGGAGGCAAAGGCAGGTGATCTCTTGATTCAAGGTTGAGGCCAGCCTGGTCTACAGATCGAGTTCTAGGACAACCAGAAAAACCTGCCTTGAAAAGCAGGTAAGAAAGCAGATAGGGATAGGTAGGTAGACAGACAGACAGACAAACTGACTTGAAAAACAGATTAGGTAGATAGATTGGTAGATAGGCAGAAAGGAAGGAAGGAAGGAAAGTAAGTTGTTTCTGGCTTTCAACTTAGTGTTTGAACAAAGGTGATAGGTTTCAGTGTTGCTGGATGATTTGTTTGTACCCTTTAATACTGTAATTTATAAGAATTTGGGACTAGCAGCTTGATAATGCCTAGAATTAACAATAATTACATTTCTAAAATACAAAAGAAAAAAGGATACATATGTGGCCAATAATGTAATAAAGGAAGAAGTTAATGACAGGTTGTGTAAGCACAAGTCATGCAGCAAATTGTTTTCATGCTTAATAAAGTCTAGCGTCCCTTGTGTAGCATAGCCAAAGCTTAGCCCCTGCGCTGCTGTCTCACTTAAGACAGTTCTCTTGTTTCCTGTGTCCCAAAACCTGTTGGTCTCAACTTCTGTCATACCCTATCAGCATATCCTGTTCGCTCTACCTTTTTAGTATATCCTAATGCTATCACTTTTAAGTCACACAGACCCCATTGTCACCACCTTGGACCAAACAATATTTTAATTTCTCTTTTTCTACCCTTGCTTGAGTCTTTTGGCAACTGCAAAGGAATCCAATTTGAATATGTGATTCCTCTCCTCAAAGCCTCCTGTGGCTTAGTTCCTCCCATGCAATAGTTAACATGCTTGTGAACCAAGCAGCTCCTGAAGAATCCGCTTTCTTTCAGGGCTTTGACTTCGTCCATTTACTACCCTTAACCTGCAGCACTGGTCTTAGTGCTCCTCAAACTCCTCCCATGCAGCCTACAGCAGGAATGTTATACCTTGCTAGTCCAATGTCTGGAATTGTTTCATCAAATAGCCACATGGAAAAATTATAATTTTATACTCCAAAATTTCTTTGCTCCATCTCTTTAATCAAGCAACTAAAACTAGCAAATCCTGTTTTACTTAGCTATGTCTCCAGTTTGTAGACTCAGTGGCGTTTGTTTGTTTAGTGCTGTGTGTCCCTCAAATACCTTACTCTGCTCATTCAACAGGTAGTAGGCTCTCAAATAGTAATGCTCAGTGTTCAGTGGCTGAAAGGATGAATAAAATGTTGAGAAGCAGTATCATGAAGATGAAAGCATTACAGAAAGCTAAGACACGACAGGGTTAAAGTAAAAGTTTTTTTATTTTATGTGCATATTGTTTTATCTGTGTGTGTATCTGTGTGAAGGTGTCAGAACTCCTGGAGCTGGAGTTAGAGACGGGTGTGAGCTGCCATGCGGGTGCTGGGAGTTGAAACCAGGTCCTCTTTGAGAGCATCCAGTGGTTTTAACTGCTGAGTCATCTCTTCAGCCCCAAGTTAATTTATTTTTAAAATAAACACATTTAAATAAAGTATTCAGCTCAAACCATTATTTGGTACCTAATGCATTTGTAATTCACCATTTTTTCTCCCAACATGATCTTCAAATGAATTAGCTGTAGGTATTTTACAGTAATGCATTTGTAGATCCTACATACAAACACAATAAAACTAAAATATTTCTTATCTGGAGAGAGTGACTGGTGGCCTGCAGCTCATAATACACCCAGGTTTATTCCAAGGAATTGTGGGTAGTCCTTGTAGTATAATACATACTAAATTTAGTTTACCATGTTAGACATTTTTAATGTGCAGTTCATTGATATTAGTATAGTCACATTGTTGAGAAGTGAGGTTCCAGGATGTTTTTATTTTGCAGATCTAAAGCTCTGTACCCACAAAACAGCTTCTTCCCCACTTTCTATCTCAATTAGACTGCTTTAGATGCTGTGTAACATTTACCTTTTAGTATTTGTTTATGGGTGACTGGCCTATTTCACTTAGCATCTTAAGATTTTAGTATTTCAAAAACTCATCTGTGTTGTAGAAAAATGACAAGTTTTTTTCAATTAAAACTGCTCTCAGCAAAAAGCCACACAGGAAGGGACTATCTCCGGAGACTGTGTGTGTGTGTACATATGCTCATAGGCATGCATATGCTCATAAGTGTGACTACTTATTAATTTTTGTTAATATCTTAGTTCCTTAATGAGCATTTGGGTTGCTCTTACCTCTTGGCTACTGTGAGCAGAGCTGCTGTGAACATCTGTGCAGATATGACTGATTACTTCAAACCTAAAAGAAAATACTGCTAGAATCTGAACCTATAGTTCTTTTTTTCTTTTTTTTCTTCTTAATAGACTTTTATCTCCTAATGTATATTTACCAGGAATTTGTGATGGTATTAAAGGAATTAAATAGGTCATAAACTCTTGGGGAAAAAAATTCTATGCTCAAAAAACTCAAAAGTAAAACATTAAAAATCTTTGTAGTTTTCCATAGTTTTAAAATAACTGTTCCCACAAATTCATCCTTTTCTGACACAACTTATTCACACAACTACTAACCAAATGTCCACAGTCCCGTAAAAAAAAAAATTTTAAGCCAGGCATGGTAGTGTACACCTTCAATCTCAGCAGCTGAGAGGCAAAAATAGGCAGATCTCTGTGAGTCTGAGGCTATCCTTGTCTCTGTAGCAAGTTCCAGGCCAGCCTAGGTTACATAGTTGAGACCCTGTCTCAAAAACACACAAAACCAAAAGACCCCACCTACTCTTACATAGTATTAACAAATATTATCTATGAAACTCTGTGATTAACCAAAACACACAAAAGAGTGGTGTTTAAATGTTATATGATCATAATGTGTCTGAAGAGGCAATTAGTGATTCCTTTTGTTTGACTTCTTCTTCTGTCCCTCTTTGTGCTTCTTCTTTTTTCTCCTACCACCTTCTTTGAATCCTGCTGAGAAAATGGAAGGCTCCTTCTTGCTGGTGACCCAAGGTGTACCTTGTTCATTGTTGTCCACAATGGTATATTGAGATATGTTTGGGGGGCTGTAGGAATTTGGTGAATAGTTGTTGAGTGACTGTCTTCTCCAGTATCGTTTTTCTGCAAATCCCTCTTCATCTACCACATTATTTAGAAGAAAGGATTTCAATTCACCATCATCTTCAGCTTCTCTTTCTGGACAGTTCTCAAAGGTTTTCTTTGTATTGATGTTTCTTATTGTATTGATGTTAATGGAATTGTTTCTTCCATTAACAATTCTGCCTGAAGGTGTAATGGGTATGTAATTGCCCATCCCAGTGTCATCAAATGCCAGGGAAGAGAATGAAGTAAGGTCCTCGTGCCCCAGTGAAACGTAAGACGTATATCCTGTGTCATAAGAAGAAAGCTTGGCAAACACTGGGTGGTCATATGAACAGGAGAAAAGGGATCCAGTGCCTCTGCTTCTGCTTCCATTAGAGCTTCTCGAACTGCTCAAAAGGTCCTCAAGTGAGTCTTCAAAGAAGTGAAATGAAAATGGGTCCCTTTCACCAAAAATTTCTTTGAAGATGTCATCTGCCTTATGGAATGTGAAGCTATACTCACATTCGTCATCAAGATGACTTCCACCTCTGCCATTTAATCCTTCTTTGCCATATTTATCATAAATGTTCCGTTTTTCACCATTTGATAATACTTCATATGCCTCGGCGACTTCTTTGAATTTTCGCTCTGCTTCTTCTTTATTTTCTGGATTTTTATCAGGATGCCATTTAAGTGCCACTTTACGGTAAGCTCTTTTAATGTCCTCTGGTGACGCATATCTCTGCACTCCTAGAACTTCATAGTAGTCCACCATGGTTTGACAGAGTATTAGACACAAACACCCTTGATAGTAAGCACCGTGTTTTCCTTGCAGCTCAAGCTCTGTTGCTGCACCTGGTGGTAGAAGTGACCGCAAATAGGCACATTTTTACATTGAAGGTAATGTTAGTGCTGGGGGCCACTGCTGAAGGACTTGAGGGTTCTCATTATGTGGCAAGCAGAGGGACAAGCATATGTCAGAGCTGCATTATGTTGTCATACTGGGGTAGAGATAGGGATTGAATCTTCCAAATGTGATTTCTCCAAAGTCACTCTGGGCTGGAACACCTCTGATCTTTCTCCCGTATCTTCTTGTGCAATCTGTGCCGATGGCCATAGCATCCCTCTTAATATGTTCTGACTTCTAGATTGCTGAACCTTAATTATTGCTTGGTTCTTCTGGTTTTGGTTGATTGGTTGGTTTGGTTTGGGTTGGGTTTTTTTTGTTTGTTTGTATTTTGGACAGGATTTCTCTGTGTAGCCCTGGCTATCCTGGAACTCACTTCCTCTGTAGATCAGGCTGGCCTCAAACTCAGAGATCCTACTGCTGCCTTCCCAGTGCTGGGATTAAAGGCGTGTGACACCATACCAGCTTCTGTGTTTTAATTTAGAAAAATAAAGACTTAGAAAGCTTTGTGCAGGGTGGGGGGGGGTAGTCAAGCAGCTGAGAAATTTATACTAGTCAAAAGACGTACATTCAATGAAGATAAAAAATAAGTAATTTGGTTATAATTAAAACTATGATGGAATAGACACCAGATGAATAAACTAGTTGTGTGACAGCCCTGGGCTGTGGTCTCAAAGAAAACTTGCTGGAATTAGTTGCCTGCTAGTCAAGCTTTCTGCCAGTAGTGAGTCATTTGAGATAGGGTCTGTGCCTACTTAATGTCGATTATAAAATCACAGTAAAAACCATGTACCATGCTGTGTACTGTGACTCTGTGTTCTAGAAGGAAAAAGAAAAGCATGAATAAAGCTCTTGGAAGCTGTGCATTTATGTATTCAGTATATAATGACTACTTTGTACCAGGTAGTTTTAGCCTCTACTGATAACCGTATTGAATAAAAGTACTAATTTTCAGTTGTAATGGCATACAAAATGGGTAGGGTAGTTCATGCCTGTAATCCCAACATAGAAGGCTGAGATAGGAAGACTAAAGAGGGTTTCAGGCAAACCTAGACTACAGGGGAAGACCCTGTCTCAAAAACTAAATAACAAGATTGATTATACAGGATGCAGAAAGTACTGACTGTACTCAAGTGGCCCATGCCTTTAATCTCAGCACTTGGGAGGCAGAGGCACGTGGATCTCTGAGTTGAGGCCAGCCTGGTCTACAGAGTGAGTTCCAGGACAGGCTTTGTTAAAGAGATCCTGTCTCAAAACAACAAAATGCATAAAAACAACTTGAGAAAATGCGATATCTCAACTTATTAGGGAACGTAGTAAACTCAGGCAGAAACAAACATGCAGCAGCTGTTGTGGTAAAAATAAAACACTGCGGATCCCCGAGTGGCCTGTATAGCTGCTGTGTCCACAAGAAAGCATACAGGCACGGATTCATACATACATACAAAATAGAACTTTTCTAACAGACAAATGTGAAGGCCTGAAAATGTGAGCCTGTGTCCACGCTGACCAAAGGTCAGAGAGTTGGAACTTGCCTCTAGTCCGTCAAGGTTATTGTGTTTCTGCCTTAAACAAAGGTCCTTACCTAGGTGTAGAGAAGAGAGTTCTGCTCTCAAGGTTATTGTCAACAGATAATAGCCAGGCCTTGTACTCCAGGAATAGAGATGTTCATGCCTCAGACAAAAATCTAAGGATCAAACTAAGTTCTAGTTGGTTCCGTTAAGTAGATAACTTTGGATTCCACCCAGGGAGTGGTTTGCCTACAGAGTGTTTTGGTCTAGAAAGTGAGTGTGACTTGTTTTGTTCTAGCAATAGAATGTTTACCTGTGAATGTAGCCTGCAACCTTCAATTGGTCTGTTAATTTCCTTGTATCATATTAATGTAGTTTTTTGTTGTTGTTGTTTTACTCTTATCTTTTGGGGTCGGGTATTTTAAGCAGTTGGAAATTAAACACGGGTGAATTTCAGTACTCACTGGACTTTCCTCCTGATACATCCTATATGTTTCTCCATTTTATTATTTTCTTTTGCATCTTCATGTTCTTAAATTTTCTAAATCCCCACACCTCTACCCTGGCAAAAGGTTTTTGTTTTGTTTTGTTTTTTTTTTTATCAAGGCTGGTCCCTAACAGACAAACAAAACTTTCCATGGAAACAGACTTTGTTATAAATTACATAGATTTTAAACCATGCCAGATGAGCAACTTACAAATCCTGAAACAAGAGTTTACAGTTTACAGTGAGGAGCCAGGCGATGGTTGCGCACACCTTTAATCCCAGCACTTGCAAGGCAGAGGCAGGTGGATCTCTTGAGTTCTAGGCCAATGTGGTCTACAGAGTGAGTTTCAGAAAAGCCAGGGCTACACAAAGAAACCCTGTCTCGAAAAACCGAAAAGAAAAGAAAAGAAAAGAAAAGAAAAGAAAAGAAAAGAAAGAAAAGAGCTTACAGTATAATCTTAAAATATAGAGCGACATACAAAGAAATCATAGGAAAAAAAGATTTTTAGGAGTGAGGAAGTAGAGCCTTAGAGGTAAAGAGCAGAGCGAGTCTAGGTATACAGTCAGGTATAAAATATTTGGACATCATTTGTGGTAGTAGATGGTAAAAGTCTGTGAGAATGTGGAAATTGAGGTCGTCGATTTTGACCATTGATTTGTGTTGAGGCCAAGCTGATGAAATAAAATCTGAGTCTGTGGAGGAAGAGAGAGGGGGTAAGAGGGGAGGTTAAGACTGACTGCAAGGTACCTCTTCCAGGTCAAGGCCTCTTCTGAGTCAGACTCTTGGGGTCTCCTGCAGGTGGTGGCTTGAAAATGGGTGTCAAAATTCGATCCAGTCGAAGATAAAGGGTGAGGAGTAACACCCCCCATGGCCAATTAATTGGCAGGAAGCTCAAGTCTTCCTGGGTTTCCAGTGCCAAGATAATGGGTTTTCTGTACCCTGATAATAGGTTTCTCCACCGACACAGTAAGCCAGATCCAGCCAAATTGAAAAAGGACAGGTTTACTTTGAGGAAAGCAACTCCTGGGTGAGCCCTCCAGCCCCCAGAGATCAAAGCTGAAGAAGGGGCAAGAGAAAACATGGCCCGAAGTAAAGGAGGGTGCTTCTGTACCCGTAGTTGAAGGGTGACAGCATATCCTCCATAAACTGACTTTGTGCCCAGTTATAACGCTTTAGGCAGAGATTGGGTCTCTGGCAACTTCAGGGGAGGAGCCTCCATAGCCAGCAAGAATGCACGACTGGATGTTTTCACAGTTTTTTTTTTTTAATAAACCTTTTTCTAAATTTTTTATGGTTTATTTAACTTTATTTTATGTGCATTGGTATGAAGGTGTCAGATCCCCTGGAACTGGATTTTCAGATAGTTGTGAGCTGCCATGTGGGTGCTGGAAAGTGAACCCCGGGTAGAGTGGTCAGTGCTCTTAACCACTGAGCCATCTCTCCAGCCCCCGCAGTTTTTCTTTGTTGGAGATTCTCTGAGAGAGAAAGAAATGGAACTTTCCCTAAACAGTTTTGCCTTTTTGTTTTGTTTTATGAGATCGAATTTCTTTATGTGGCCCCAGCTTATTATAGTGGCATTTCATTTGTATTTTAATAGATTAAGCTTGCCTGAAGATCAGAGAGTAAGACAGCCCCACTGGTCAGCCTTACAGACCAGGCAGTGGTAACACATACCTTTAATCCTTATAGCCATACTAGTTGCCATAGAAACCGGGCAATGCATGCCTTTAATCCCAGACCTAGAGAGGAAACAGCTCTCAGACACAGTCTCATTCTGAGATTTTGGAGACAGGATCACCATTTCTTCCTTTCTTCCTTCCTTCCTTCTTTTTTTTTTTTTTTCCCAAGACAGGGTTTCTCTGTAGCTTTGGAGCCTGTCCTGGAACTAGCTCTTGTAGACCAAGCTGGCCTCGAACTCACAGAGATCCACCTGCCTCTGCCTCCCAAGTGCTGGGATTAAAGGCCACCACCGCCTGACTAGGATCACCATTTCGACCTGGGGTCAAGGTCAGAGCCAGTGGCTGGCGACTTGTTTTTCGGGTCTTTAGGTTGAATCCCAATTTCTCTCTCTGAGATTTCATTAAGCTTCACTAACTGTCCTGGAAATCGCTTTGTATACCAGACTTGCCTCGAACTCAGAGATCTGTCTGCCCGTGCCTCCCAGGGGCTGGAATTAGAAGTTTATACCACCACCACTCGACTCAGTCTTAGACTTGTAATATTATTCCTTTTCTTCATACTGCTCCACTCTTTTCACCTCATTAGTATGCTCGTACTATCTGTCATCCTTCTACAAACAAACAAGTAAGTAAATAAATACAGCTTGCCAGAAGATCGAGGGCAAAGCAGCCATACTAGTCAGCTATACAGGTCAGGGAATGGTGGCACACACCTTTAATCCCAGATCTTGGGAGACAAAGGCAGCCAGATCTCTGTGAGTTCAAGACCTCCTTGGACTACACAAGATTTAATCTGTCTAAAAGAGAAACAGCTCACTCAAAGGTGATCCCAGTATTTAGAATCACACGCCTCTAATCCCAGGTCTAGGGGCATGGAGACAGGAACAATGTGGCTGAGCAGAGAGAGGACTATAAAGGGGAAGAGACAGGAACTTAGTGGAGTGTGGAGTTTGAAAATTCATGGAGACAGGATCTTGCCCCTTTGGTCTTAAGATTTGGTAGAGGTAAAAGATCTCTCTAGTTGTTGGCTGCTTGGCTTCTCTGATCTTCAGGGTGAACCCCAATATCTGTCTCTGGGTTTTTATTGTTTGTGCAACAAATCTCTCTCTAAAAATGCAATGAAGAACAACTTAAATGAAGAAGACATTTGTCATAAACCTCTGGCTTGCACGTGTGCACCTGTATACTCACAAACTTAAGTATACATCACACACACAGGCTCCTTACTCTCAAATATATGCCATTGTTAGTGTTTCCCAGACTCTCCAGTAGTCTTTATCTTAATCTGATTTACAGTACCCCCCTTTTGAACTGAGTGTATGTCCAAGAGTTTACAGTACTGATTATGTTCTGGGATTAAATAAAGTCTGTTT